AAAAAAAAAAAAAACTTTCCCATTGATATTTGTTATTAAGAGGCAATTAAGAAGGCACTAAGACAAAGCAACAATAAGACAAGTACGAGGATTTTCACTCCTCTGCTCTACCAGCTGAGCTATCCTGACCATTTTCAATGTAACATCCCATTCTCATTTTATTAGATGACTGAGGTTAGGTTGTTTTATCGGGGTTACTCTGCTAAGATTCCAGAATGCCCCTCTGGTTTCTAGCTATTATGAGTACGAGCTCACTTCAACTACTCCTGAATCCCCCCGGTGACAAGATCTGAGTGAAAATGGCTTGGTCGGGATCCTATTAGAAAGCATACGTACAGGCTTGCGATCGAGGAACTGCTACTAAGCATGGTTTTATTGAATTTCCTTCACTAATAGAATCACGATTCGACTATGATCATCAACTAAATATGGAGGTACTCGTGCCAGTTAATTTCTGCTCGGCTTTTTCTAGTGATAATCTTGGTCAAAACAGTACAAGACTATGAATTGTAATATGCAGTCTATTGAGTTCTTAACAACTAGAGATGTATTTCTGTTGTGAATTTGATCTTATAGCAAAATCATAACCTTTCATGTTTTTCCCTTTCTGATATCTCTTCAGTAGTAGGTTTATTTCAGGTCAAATTCTTAGTTTCAGTGGAGTTTTGTTATTGTTGGGTTTTTTTTTTTTATATCAAATAATTCGGACGATGATTTAAAACAGCTGTCGGATTATTTATCGATACCATGGACTTGGCTCAGCCCGGAGATGAATTACACTTTTGGATGGCTCGAGTTTGGGTTGAATGATTATTTGGTTAGTTGGACCATTTAGTGATTAATATGGAGTTGAAAATTGGCCCATTAGTTTAGGTTATATGGCAACCCACTTCGAGATCTCTTGGACCATATTTGGTCACCTAAACTAACCTATATATATGTATCTATCTCCCAGCCGTGTAGTGTGTGTGTGTTGTAGCAATGAAGAGGAGAGTTGAGAGAAGAGAGGCAATCGAGAGACAAGTCATGTGAGGTTGTGAGTGAGATTCAACCATTGTGATATCTTCTTCTTTCTCTCCATACCTTTGTGGATTGCTAACACCACCACCCTTGTGGGGTTAGAGAGAAAGAGGGCGTCCAAACATGAAAGCGAAAATCTCGGGTCGATCTGAGGTAAATCAATGCTCGTTTGATTATTTTCTTATCCCGAAATCAAGATTTATCGAGGGATTTTCATGACAAATGGTATCAGAGTTTGTGTTGTTGATAAATCTGTGATTTTTGGAGCTAAAAATGGCTTGGAAGTGGTCAGAAACGGATCTGAGAATCAGAGGCAGAAACTGTCCAATTTTTCAATTTTCTGCCAGATTTTTTTTGCGTTTTCTGGTGAAACCAAAAAGATTTTGGAGAAACGGACAGCACCGGTGGACTGTGCAGGCGAAGAATAAACCGAAAGGGTTACATGTCGTCGGAGTCACCGACGTCGGTGCGTCAACAGAAATTTGGTAACCGTGCCAAAAGACAGAATGTTGCCGGAGATGAGGCAGACCTTGTGGTGTTGTCAGATTTCAGTTTCGAGCAATACAGTAAAAGTTGACGATTTTGCGTTTGGACGTTCTGATGCCGGATGCCATTTTATGTTGCTGTGCTTGCTGGAAGCTTTAGGATGAACAGTGACAATCCTAAAGTGGTGAAATCGCATGTCTCGATATTTACAGATCTTTAGACGTGGTCCGCTCGGTATCGTATTCTTTGCCTTTTATTATTACAGTTAAAATTAATATGTAGATTAATTATTTATTTTTGGCATTAGAAGTTATCGTGTGAGGTGATGTTAGGTTTATGATTATCGTGAAGGGGTAATCATTGCATGTTGCTAGACTAAGAAATTATATATTAATTAATTGCCTTAAATTTTATGTGAATTGGTCACCAATTTTTCTACACCGATAGAATTATATGTGACCTTCGAAAAAGTTTATTTAACTATTTTGTATGAATTATGTGTTAGTACTTTGGATGTGGTCATTATTTGGTATTGTTGGCATGTATAGGTCTAAAGAAAATGTGAAAAATAAAAAAATTGGGCATAGTTGGAAGAAATTGTCCTAGAATGATAATAAAATGAAAAATGAGGATAGAAACGATGCAAATGTGGCTTTAGGGTGGAGTAGTGATCCTAGTGAGGTTTATTGAGAGAATAAATATGGTTGTTGTATTGTATCTGTGTGTAATTCTTTCTGCATGCATTTAATTGCTTAATTCTGTTGCGTTGGTATGTTACACTTTCAATATGTTTGATATGTGTAATTGCATGAATTAGAACAATTTATTATTTTGTGTAACGTGTTTGTATGCATAGTGGATTGAGTTTTGTAGCGTACTTTGTTTGCTCTATGAGTAGTGCGATAGTGTGGTAGTGAGAAGAAAGATGGGCAACCGTTTTCTCATTTATCTTTGTGAGCCTGTGTGGTCTGTGAGATTATGTGAGGCGGTCATGTTAGGGTTACATTCTTTCTCTTTGTGGGCCATTTTGTGATTGTAGTGAAGTAACTACTCTTTCTTCGATTCTCTTTGAGAGTGCCACCTTTACTATTTTCTTTGTAGTTTTTTTTTTGAAGCATTGGTGAATGGAGTAAACTTTGTGGTCACTGAAAGGTGTTGATTTGCCACAGTGAGTTTAAGATGCATTACCGGTGAGTTGTATGTCTTTTGGTAAAGTGGAGTATAAATGCCTAGAGGTGCATTAGTGATATGCATAGGGGATGTGGAGTGTGATATTTGGATCACGAGAGGAGATGTAATCAAATGTGAGAATCCTTTATCTATAAAGAGACCCTGTATATGTGGAGTGTGAGAGAGGCACTTTTATTACTTCTGTAAGGTGGATGTCCATTATCCACGAAGGTTGGGAGAAGTGATGTGGTGATAGAGTATTATTCTGAGAACTTAGGATCTATTGTGATTTGCAAGTTAGACATGAGTTGTGTAATCTATTTAGTGAGCATGGTGGGCAATGAGAGAAGATATATGTTTTCGAGGTGGGAGTAACATGAAATGGGATATGATAATTATGGTGAGATCTTTCATGGGATCATTTATGCATTTGTTGCATATGAGCATGACCGTATGTTGATTAACTAGGTGTTAATCTATGGTTCTGTGTGAACGTGATTTTGAAAAGATCTGTGTGTGTTATCCTATATATCTTCATCGCATGATTGTTTGTTCACTGTGAATACTTGTTTCTATTTTGGTGTTTTTTTATCTTAGTCCTGGTGAGTACATGGAGCAAGTATCGTATGTGTTTCAAGTTGGAAACACGAGTTAAGATCGGTATTCCTATTTTATTAGGTTACTTTGATTGTGCAAGTATAAACTTTGTATTTTGGTTACTTACAGATTATTGGGCATCAAGGTGGAGATTGTTGGGTTTTTTTATACCGAATAATTCGGGCGATGATTTAAAACAGTTGTGGGATTATTTATTACCACCATGGACTTGGCTTGACTCAGAGACGAACTACATTTTTTGGTGGCTAGGGTTTGTGTTGGATGCTTATTTGGTTAGTTGGACCATTTAGTGATTAATATGGAGTTGAAAATTGGTCCATTAGTTTAAGTTGTATAACAGCCCACTTAGAGATCTCTTATCCCATATTTGGTGACCTAAACTAATATATATATATATATATATATATACACACACACACACTCCCAGCCGTGTAGTATGTGTGTTGTAGCAATGGAGAGAAGAGTTGAGAGAAGAGAGACAGCCGAGAGAGAAGGAATCCATGTGAGGTTGTGAGTGAGATTCAACCATTGTGATATCTTTTTCTTCCTTTCCATACCTTTGTGGATTGCTAACACCACCACCCTTCTTCTTTGTGGGGTTAGAGAGAAAGAGGGCAGTCCAAATATGAAGGCGAAAGTCTTAGATAGAGTCAAGGTAAATCGGTGTTCGTTTGATTATTTTCTGATGTCGGGATCAAGATTTATCAAGGGATTTTCGCAATAGTTATTTCATGGTGTCTTCGTTGTCCTGTGCATTCCTGATGCTTGTAGCAAAGCACTAAATAATCTGAAAATGATATACTTGGTTTGTATATTTGAAGAATGGCCTAAATACTGGTTCTAAAATAACTTCTTAAGAAGTAC